TGAAGTTAAGTTGTTGCTTGCTGAACTTCTTCAGACCAAAGCCTGAAGAGTTTTAAGTCAAGTTCAAACGGAGAAATGTAAAACCGTGACGGTGGTCGATGGAGTCAAATAATTTATTCGTGGTTGATTCACTTTTGGACCTTTAAATATGCGATGCCTACCCCCCAAATTGTGCCTCCTTGCCGAACTCCTCTCCTTATGTGTGTTTTGCTACTTTTAATGAAATCTCCGTGTAGCTGTCCTATTTTTGTGGATCTGTCAACCTAGCAGTATTTGTTTCATATGCCTGACTGCCATCAAAGCCATAAGTACAAAACCAATCCACCAGAGTTTGCTCATTTAAACAAATACTGCAAGGTAATCATCATCATCATCCATGATCAATCCGCTGCTAGGTGAAGACCTCCCAAAGCGGTCACAAATCATGATCCTGCAGTGCAAAAATGCACCTGCACACGAGCTGATTTCATCAGTCCATCTTCGCGGGAGACGTGCTCTCTTGAGGTTCATACCCTCGTTCGTTCAGGAATGATCATCGGCCGTCGTTTCTTCGAACAATGTGCATGCCCAAGGCCACATAACTCTTCTTAGCAGTTTGAATAATGTCATTAATCTGTATTGTTGTGATCCATATGCACCTCTTACGCCGGTGGTTATCAAAGTGCTATCCTCAGACCACCAGGTGGTTCGTGACGCTCCTCCAGGTGGTCCGCGGGGTTGTGATGCAAATGCAGGTTGATCCGGACAATAATGATGACGTTTATTCCTCTTCTTTCAGACGAAAAAATATATACATTTTACTTCTAATATTTAATTACAGCAGAACCCCTCTTAATGACCACCCCTGTTAACGACGAAACACTTAACGACAGGCCTCTACAGAGCCCAATGTGTAGTGTATAGTGTAGTGTAATGTATAGTAGTGTAGAGTGCTAAGTAGTGTAGTGTCTAGTGGTGTAGAGTAAAACCCCTCTTAACGACCACCCCTGTTAACGACTAATCGCTTAACGACAGGCCTCTATAAAGCCCAATGTGTAGTGTAGTGCCTCCATAGAGCCCAATGTGTTCGCTTACCGACCATTCTGTTAACGACGAGCTGTTGGAGGTACTGTAAATATGAATTGATACATTTGTAGTGACTGGGAATGTCACTGTGTGGTGCCGGGCCTGCGAGACCACGGCGGATAATATGTTGTCAATATGTGCAGCCCGGTTACCGGGCGTAGTACCAGCCTTAGCGGGGCTTGGGTGAGCGCCGGTTAGCGCGGGGACACCATGTACAGCGTGCGGTGCGGGCCCCCTGTGAGGGAGCGTGAAAGGGTGTCAGCCAGCCAGGGTTACGTTGGGCCATGACCGCTGGTTGACCTGCCGACACGTGACCGGATGATATTGGAGGGGGGCCACCGGTGGAAGTGGGCTGTGGGGTGGTCACGTGGTATAGAAGAGCTCTCGGGAGCCTTCGGGAAAGAGCCAGAGAGATCGAGAAGGTGGGCGGGGCGAGAGGCGGAGCCAGACGCAGCCCGGGCCGATATAACGGGGGTCCCGTGAGGGGCTCGGGGTTCTTGTCTGTTGGTGAGAGAAGATCCACGTCGGGTTGAAGAAGCCTCTAGCCACGCGGTCCGGGACTCAGGTCGTGGTCCGGACCGGGATAGCGGAATCGTGTCTAGTTCTGCCGTGGCGTGGTTAGATGGGCGTTCAACATCCGAGTGTAGGTCACGTGATGTTGTGTTGCTGTGAATAAAAGTGTTGCTCCCAAGGCAACGTCTGTGACTCGGTTGGACTCACTACACATTGGTTAACCATGTTTCTTTTAATATTGTTTATAATGTTAGTAAGTGAATGTATTCATATACATTAATATACATTGTTTAAATGTATGTTTAAATATTAATATGTATTTCCTATACTCGCTTAATGACCAAATCACTTAACGACCGGTTTCCTGGAACCAATTGTTGTCGTTAAGAGGGGTTCTACCGTATTTTACTTATGATATTAAGTTAGGTAAACTACCCGACTGAAACTACCCTAATCGTCATCTAAATGCCCCCCCCCTCCTTGAGAAAAACACAAAACCGCAAAAATTATGTTCTGGTAATATAAATCATTTTCTATCAGTGGTATTTAGAGAGAAAATGTTCTAGATTTGAAGTTTCCGTGACTGCAAGGATCCATACTGTTTGGTTCTTTCGGTAAAGTCACGTAGGGGAAAAATAAATAAATATTTATTCCCATCACGGCATTGCGCCCAAAACGTCGTTATTAAAAAAAAATGTATTTTATTTTTTACCTACGTGACTTTACCGAAAGAACCAAAGAGTAGAGAGAATGTTTGTATCTCCTTGAGTGGTCAAAAGTTTAAGGAACAATGTTTCGAACTCTCTTCGCGTAGCCCCGTCGAGCACCTGCGCACAAACTCATTTGATCACTCCATCTCCTCGGTGGACGCTCCCTTGGATGCATTCCGTTCCAAAAAGATGATGACACCGCTCGTAATGTGTTATACGACTGTTAGCTCAAGTGTCTTTAGTTGCCTCTGCATTTTGGCGAGACTGAATATGTAGAACTAGTATATAACAATCCTGTAATAATGATATTTAAATGCCTGTTAGTTAACCGAGGGAAGTGTAAGTGATTGTAAAAACAATTCATCAGGAAGGTCCTGCATTGAGATGTTTGGCCAATTGCATCAAGGAGTGTTTGGCATGTAAAACCTTGCCTCTTACTGCATTTAGCCTTAATTACAACCCTTTCTGATAATTTGCCTGTACAGTCCAAACGTAATTAAGATAATGGCATGCGTGCAAAGCTTTGGTGACACTAGCTATTGTTGATGTTATTATTCGCTAGTATTGTAACTGTCGTTGCAATGGTTAGATTGCTGGACAATGAACGTTGAAACCTATGTTCAATTCCAGGCCATGCCTAACACGGGAGGCGAGTAATATCTGAACCGGCCCTGGGGTCATCTCTGTCCTTCACTAACTCGTACGGGACGAGCGTGGGTGAAGTAGGGTCAAACAATCCCGACGACCAACGCGCCGTGGGGTGGCCTTCATCCAGCAGTGGAATGACAAAGGTCTGCAAAAGTGTTAACGTTGCGCGACAATTGAAACTGTGAACAAAAAAAGTTGGTGAGCTCGGGCAGGGGTGTGTCCTGAGAAGAGGGCATGGCCGATGGGTCAGGGAATATTTGGCAGCCAAGCAATGGAACACTACAGAGGGTCGTCCACCGAAGGAGATGGAGCGATTAAACTGGGTCCGTGTGAGGAATGCTCGGTGGATTATTTAATCGCAGGACCGTGAGAAACATTGGCAGCTTTGGGCGGCCTTCCTCGAGCAGTGGATTGGTCATGGCCGATGATGCAATGGTGTCTATTCTTGCCGCTAGAACCTTAATACGGGGTGATTCGTGCACAGCAGGCCATGACTTTGAGCGCTGTGCTAATTCTAACCTTTGGACGGGTGGCCTCGGCGGGGGTGCATGTGAACGAAACCAGATGTGGGTAAAATGAAAGCCCACCGATGCCAGATAACCCACGTCTGCCTTGTCCAGCAGCGCTGATTGAGTTACAGACGGCTTGCGAAAAAAACGCCTTCCACGCTCACCTGATGTGACCTCGCTCGGAGCCAGAGAGAGGAGAACTTCACTTGGCTGTGTTTTGGCGAATTATTTGTCAAAATATATACAAGGTGATATTTTTGCTGAAATGAGCGTTGAAGTGGTGCTCATCTTTTGTTTATAGCCGAGCCAGTGATGGAAATTCTACAGTTCGATGGTTTGTGGCGAGTCTATCCATAGGACAACCTCTGTTGATTTCCCTACAAAGTGCTACTCATTTTTTATCAACTACCCAGGGATGTTGGGCTGAGTCATCCCCCAGCCAAGGTTTGAACTGTTGACCTTCTTCTATTTGCAAGCCACTCGCACTACTGCTGAGCCATCTGGCCGGATATTATGAAATAATTATTCAAAACAATAGTTTGTGATAATTATTTATCGCTCACATTTTGTTTAAATTGCATATACTGTGTATTATTATATGATACTGTGTAAAAGTCGAGCCTCATTTCTTTACTTTAGCTTGTTGGTTTATTGCAGTGCCAACGTTCTTGAAAGAACAGAACTCATAGTGGAAAAGTAGATACATTTAAATTTTAAATGCCACGTTTAGCTAAATAAACACGTGGGCCCCAGTGGCCATTGCAAACCATCTGACATGTAACAATAACAGTCCACCCCTCCCCCGTGCCACCGCACACACCAGTGGGCTGATGAATTGTTACGCTTTGGCGATTGTGGTTTCATTTAATAATGCATTATTTTTTTTGGTTTATTTATATTACTTCTTGTTTTTGTTCTGTGTCCTGTGTGTTCAGTTTTTTTCACTTCATTAAGCCACCCAATTTATAAAAATGGTGTAATACAATGCCATATGATCCAGATATAACGAGCATAGATGTTTAGCTAGCTTTGCGTGTGTTCGGGTTTGTGCAATTTGGCGTAGTTGCGGCAAACATATTTCTACCCAAAATTCGCTCCGCGTGGTTTGAATTCACTCATACGCGGCTGTGCAGTCAAACATGCAACAACATTGTGTGTATACTGTGTGCATTACTCGTGCTATGTAAGGTCTTGGTTGGGGAGTTGACACCACGGGTAGCTTGGTGGGAATTCAAGTTATTAATCATTTGCATACAAATTTACAATAATTATAAGAAATAAATAATTTTGCCCATTTTGATTTAGGGTTGGTAATGGTATTTTTTTTTTACCATACTTCACCGCTCTAGTTGGTACCGGTTGGTAATGGGGACGGGGGAAGGAGAGGTCCTGGTTCTGATATCACTTGCCACTGATGTTAGCCGTGGACAGCAACATAACTCGGGTCTCTGGGTTTAGTCATCAACTTTACAATCGATATTCATGAGTGATTCGATACGTTGCCGCATGCCTCATTAACTCGCCGTTCTTGCCACCGTCTGTGTCATCTACCCAGGCAACGGCACCATTGACACTGGCGTCAGCGACAGATAAGGGCGCGACACCAGAACCTCTGAGCAAGAGCAACGGACGTGGCCCCAACGGGCAACCGGCACGGCCCAGCATGGCTCAGCGCGCCACCTCCTACGTAGTGCCGTGCATGGAGAAACTCGGCATCTGCATGGTGGAGGACTTCCTGGGCGAGGAGACCGGCAGCGCCATCCTCGCCGAGGTCAAGCGGCTCCACGGCAGCGGCAAGTTCTGCGACGGGCAGCTCGTGGGTCAGCTGCGAGCCAAGGGCGGCTCGGAAACGTCGCCCGCTTCTGCTGCCTCCTCGTCCTCCTCGTCCTCCAGCTCATCGTCGTCGTCCTCCTCGTCGTCGGTCATCGCCGGGGCGGCACTTTCGCCGCCGTCTGCGATCCGCGGCGATAAGATCGCGTGGATCAGCGGGAGCGAGCCGGGCTGCGAGAAGATCGCCTACCTGATGTCGCAGATGGACGAGTTGATCAGACATTGCGCCGGACGCCTGGGGATCTACAACATCAACGGACGCACCAAGGTGAGACGGCGGTTGTTGATAGGAAAGTTTCCTGCATACTGCATAATGCACGGGCATAATATGACTTTGAAAACCCCCCGCCCACCTCCTACGCATTTCACAAGTAGTGCTAATCCCATATTTGCATTTCCCGTAAATATGCAAAATTCCTCTTGATATGCAAATTATTTTGTCAAGGCGCTCTTCCCCCTCCAACCCAGCTTAAATAGTCGCTCCAAGCCTGGTGGTGTTTCATTCAGACGCTGTCTTCCCGACAGACCTGTTCTTCACCTGAGGGACGGCTGCTTGCTTTGTGGCCGAAACGTCGTGAGAATTATTTTGTTACGTTTTATTTTTATTATTTTATTATTTCCCTTCTACGTGACTTTACCGAAAGAACCAACAAGATTTCAACTGAGAGTCGCTCGCGGCTCTGAGAGAGAGTGCTGAGCAGACATCGCTGAGAATCCTGTGTTTTGAAATACAATTTACAGCCGCCTGTGATCGAACTGGGTTGTTGAGCTTAGGAAATTGGTGTGTTCCGGCATCCAGTGACTGGGCAAAGGAACACGTCACTTAAAAATTTGGTTTTGCGCTGAAATTGCATAAATTGCAGCTCCGAGAATCAACATTTTCTTCCTCCAGATACATTTTGGCAAGAAAGTAATACTCGTTGGCAAAAAGTCCCGTGATTTTCGAGGCATCTAACATTAACTGTGACGTGTCAGGGTTTCTCTTTGTCACATCAAATCTACCTTGGTATGGGACATTTAAAAAATACACTTAAGTGTAAAACATAATCATTTGGATTACTATCACGTTCATGCTGCACCACTGTTGGAGAAAATTGGATTGGAATCTTGGACGTTGACGAAAATGATATAAGGAAATCTTGTAAGTGTGCAAAGAAGCTTCAGAATTACCATAAGAGGAGGTACACGTGCGGTAGAGAATATTTATTTAAAGGTTAGAGACATTCTGACTGCTAAGAAAAATATGTAGCGTTGGGCACACGTTGCAAGAAGAAGTGATAGTTGGTAGCCGAGACTAACATCTTGTGTGGCAGCCGAAGGAGGGAATGCTGCCGGGAGGACATTCGTTGCTGATGTGGAGCAATGAGATGAACTCCTGTGCAGGCACCAGATGGATTGCTATGCATCGCAGCTCCACGGGACTTAGGGATGATCATCCAGCCGTCGATTTGATCGTGGCTGACGACGATGATGATGGTGAACACTTAAATGTTAGGATACACACGCATTCTATCTGGCTGCGCTTAGCCAGTCAGACGGCATTATTTATAATTGTGCTTAATCTACATCGAGGGTAAACACGGGCGAGGTGACGCACTGGCCGTGCAATGCTGGGGCACAGTGGCTCACACTTGGGAGAAGAACCTTAGCCCGCATTGATCGGTGCTTAACAAAGCCACCACATAGTAAACGCATAACTTAAGTGGGCACTTAGTGACCACGGCGAATGTGCTGGTGTTGGAAGGGAGAGAAATCGCCACTCTTCTTTGTCTTTGGGGAGATGCAAGACAAACAAGTGGCACCCACGTATACTTTAGAGGGTGTCACCTGCTTTAAGTAATTTTTGTTTCCTGAATATCGCTGTGCATTGATGGTATGTTGAAGAGTGCATTTGGCCATTGGCCCTAAAATCCCATTTTCTGTATGTAACATTTAACTGCAGTGTGAATCGTCCAATTAAGGCAATTTCTTTTTTGGTGTGGCCACAAATGAGCGTATTATTCACTTATTTTAACAGTCGTCAAAACATGTCGGAAATGCTTTGGCTTGGCTGGATGAAAGGGAAAGAACTGTGAATTCCCGTCCCTTTGTCATGGTCACGGATGGTTACGACAGGCCAAAGGCCCCAATACACCAAGTAGCCAGCAACAAACATCACTAGCGAAGGTGTAGTAGATAGGAGTTGAGATCACCATTGGAACCTCCTTTGCCAGTAGCAAAATATGATAATTGTTTTTTTACCCTTTTATCTGGCAACAAAACTGACATCTTTTTTACAAGGAGTCATGTTTGCATTGACCACAATACCTGCGGTCGGAATGCAAACAAAAAACACAACTCTATAATGTATGCATTGTCCTTGAAATTGAATGGAATTGATTGGTCCACACCCGAGACAGCTTTTGGCGTCATCTGGTCCAACACCATGTGAGACTCGGCTCTAAGAAAAGCTGTCTCAGGTGTGGACCAATCAATTTCACTCAATTTCAAGGACAGTGCATACATTACCAGTTGTGTTTTTTGTTTGCATTCCGACCGCAGGTATTGTGGTCAATGCAAACATGACTCCTTGTAAAAAAGGTGTCAGTTTTGTTGCCAGATAAAAGGGTAAAACACCAATTATCAATAATCAGGAGTTGAGATGTTTCTAGAATTGAATAAAGATATAAGAACTTGGGGGTAGAGACTGATGGGAGGGAATTTGAAAAATCGAGCAGTACCAAAAAAAAGAAGTGAAATGGGACGTGGTTAATTAGATTTTTCTGAGCCGAGGATAATGGAAAAGATGAGTACAGCTTATTGTCACGCAATTTAGCGTCCGATTTAGCTCTACTTATGAAATACATAGCTGGTGTATATTTAAATGCTTTGGCAATTAATGGATTAAGAGCAAAGATATGTTTACATCGCCTCCATTCATGGTGATGGTGGCTGCTAGAATATTAGGGATTTATCATGAATTGTAGGGTTTTTGTAAGGATCTTAAGTACTGTGTTTTGATATCCCCTTTCATGTGAAAGAATATTAACTTGTTCAACGCTACAATTTCCCTGCCATCATCTACATTGCATTTAACTTCCTTTGTCCCTCTGTAAGTCTATAAACTATTTTTATTTCACCAACTAAAGCCCACTGAGCTATATAGCTCTTTTCCAGAAGCGACCTGGCCACAAATGATAGCTCAACGAAGTGGCTTATCACGTGGTGGAAATTTCTCGCAGCCAAAAACTGGGAACGTGTTTCCAAATGCGGAGGGAAAAACCGGAGGATCCAGAGAAAAATCCACGCGACCACGGGGGGGAGAACATGCAAACTCCAAACATACAGGCTTCAGGGTCGAGATTGAACCCACAACCTCCTGTATACCAGGCGAGGGAGTTAACAGCTTGCCACCGTGGCACCCCAAAAAGTCAGTCGCACGAGTCACAGCACTTGAGTCAATTTCATCGTCCAGAGTCCAGTAATGGCTCATTCTCACAGGACGGAACCATAGCCCTGTTGTGTTAATGATGGGTTACGTTGAACCTTTGACCTTGGTAAAAAAAAACAAGGCTATAGTTCACCACGCTAATTGTACTAGGTTGCAAGAATTGTGAAACTCTCTTCTCAACCCTTTTATTTTTTTTAGTTATTTAAAAATAAATAGATTCATCTGTGTAGCGTGCGGGGGACAAATGGACTTGCTGGGGAAGAGAAACTGGAAAGGACACTTGAGAGGAATAATAGTTAATTTATAAAGTGAATCGTGTGCACTGGTGGACTGTTGTAAAATTATATGAAACGTTTTCAACACGTACTAAAATAGCATTACACCAGTTTATATATATAATATATGCATGAGAGGACGTCACTCGAAGGGACGATAGCCAGTGGTCAAGAATAACAATGAGGTAGCAGCGCAGAGAGAACGTCCAGCGAGGGAGATGGAGTGATCAAATACATTTTTGCGCAGGTGCTCGGTGGATTATTACATCGCAGGAACTTTAGAGGTGTAGTGGTGGTTTTTGGGAGGCCTTTGATCAGCATTGGATTGACCGTGGCTTATGATGATGATGATACATGAGAGGGTTAAACTTTGATGTTAGGTTAAATAAGCCGCCAATTCTGGGCTCCGACATTTTATGTGAATGGAATTTGTGCTCGCGTATGTGGCGCCTTTAAACGAGAACATATTCCATCTCTCTGTGGCCCCGTCCCTGATTCACTTCAGCTCTGCTCAACTGTGTGGATCTCACTGCCTCTTGTGATTACAGGCGCATGGTGTAACGTATTTATCTTTAATCGTCCATCGACGCGTTCCTCAACTCCTGGAACATGTGCCCGGCCCCCACTCAACACCAGAGATCTCCGCCAAACACAAAACACTCGCGCCTCCCTGGGGGCATCGGGCACCTTCACAACAGCGCGCCCCTAACATCGCGTCTGCACATGCTGATGTCGGACAAAGGTGCAGCCCCTGCGATTTCTTGCTAATGCAGAAGGGCTTCCACGAGAGGGAGCTCTAGAGAGCCCCTCTAGGGGATCAATTGGCCTTCTCTTAGATGCTTTTCAGGCGTCTTGGAAGAGGTCAGAGCGACCGCACTTTACTCGGCTGCACGCGACCTGCCGATTGACCGACCGTAGTCTACTGGTACTGACGATGGGTTTGACAGAGGTGGGGAGATTTAAGAAACCAATCCGGGAGATGGAATCAAACTGGCGCCCTCTGGATTGGAATCCCAGTGCGGCAGCGCTAACCATTACACCATGGCAGCATTCCACACGGGGGGCGGCAGGGGGGTGTTCAAAACAACGAAAGTTCGGTGTGTGAGTCACATTTCGTTTTCTGCTGTGGCCTGGTATATTGCATAGAGCTGGTAAAGTGTGCTGTTTGCTGTGAAGCGGGTGGTAAAGAACGCCTGATATTAATCATGTTTCTCAAAGAGCAGGGAGTCAGGGGCTCTGTATGTATTGGCACAGTTGCGTCGTGCACTGCGCTATGAACCCAGCGACCTGAGATATATTCCTAGTCACAGCTCACATCAGTGGCGAATGATATCTGAACTGGCCCTGGATGCCTTCCACCGCCCAAAACCCTGACTATAACCCACCTTTACCAACCATCATGACCAGCATAGTGAAATATTCATCTGGCAATGTATTGACAAAAGTTCTGTCATTTATTTTTGTTACTATGTATTTTTCAAAGCAGGTGGATGGGTGGGTCAACATTTTTTTATTCTACTCACGTACTGATGTTTTGCTTGTGTAAGATTAGTTTCTTGTATC